TCACTCAGCTTCCAGATAAGGAGGAGACGCTTTTCAAGTGGCTACATAATACTAAGATATCTTACGATCATTCGAGGCATAAAAGCTATCGCATCTGTGTGCGCCACTTTGAGCCAGCGTGCTTAGAAGCGGATTTTCTAAAACCTTGGGCTATACCAACCTTGCATCTGAATCATGAGGGCAAGATTCACTTAAATCCCTGTCAGCAAGATCTTGAGTCACGCAGTATGACTCCCAATAGCAATGCAAGGCTAACTCCACTAAGAATTAAGACAGATCTCGCATCTCTGAGCAGTCCCTGCGCGAGTGCAAGTCCCAGTCCTCGAGGCAGGATGAGGATATGTTGTATTCCCACATGTGGACAGTTTGGAAACAGCCAAATACGGCTCTACCGCTTCCCCACCGAAGAGCAGGCCTTGCTCCGGTGGCTGGTGAACACGCAACAGCAACCCCGCCTTGTGGATCCCCAGGAGCTTTACGTGTGCCAGTCCCACTTCGAACCCGATGCCATTTGTAAGAAGCAACTTCGCAGCTGGGCGGAGCCCACATTAAACTTGGGCCACGATGGCTATGTTATCCCCAATGCCAAGCACAACGGAAACATCGCTGGAGGGCAGGACACTGAGCAGGCGATGAGGTTTATCCGCGAACGCTTTTGTTCCGTGCTGTCTTGTTTCCAGGCTGAAGATAGTGGAATAAGGCTTTATGAGTATCCAAAGGATATGGCAACGATACGAAAGTGGGCAGCCGCCTGCAGACATCGCTCGATGCAGGCCAGCAGCCATGGGTTCAAGGTGTGCCAGTCTCATTTTGCCCCGGAATGCTTTCATCCGGACACTTTGGATTTGATTGACGGATCAGTTCCCACTCTGGAGTTGAGCAGAGATGACATTGAAAAACACTGTTTGGTGCCCGGATGTGTGAAGGACGCAACTGGCGACCGACTCCGCTTCTACAAGGTGCCAAAGAACGCTGCTCATCTGGAAGCTTGGAGCAACAACCTGAAGATCAATTCCCTGGACCTCGGTCAGGGAGAGCAGCTCATCTGCGAGCGCCACTTTGAGTCCTTTTGCTTTGGTGCCAACAGGGGATTACGTCCTGGAGCGCTTCCGACTCTTTTGCTTGGTCATGACGAGCAGGTGGAGATGTTACCCAATCCCGAAAATCTCTGTCAAAGTAAACCTGAGGTGTGCTGTGCCCCTGGATGCGGACGTGTACGGCAGCTCGGAGACGCTCAGTTCAGTGGATTTCCGAAAGTATTGGCGTTGGCCGAGAAGTGGATGTATAATCTTCGTCTGAGAGTTACTAAGGATCAGCTAGGCAGGCTGAAAGTCTGCAGTGCGCACTTTGAGTCCTCTCTCTTTGACAAAAGTGGATTAATCTCGGGTTCGATACCCACCCTGGAACTGGGACATTCCTCTCCGGACATTTTCCAGACTGATCTACAAAATCTGGGCAAATGCTTAAAGCTTTCCAAGCGAGCCTTGATGCCGGATGTCAATTGCTGTTATCCTGAGTGCAAAGAATTCTCTAGGAACCTGTCTTACACTCTGCCCCCTGAGGAGAACCTCCGAAGAGCTTGGCTACGATATTTGGACATCGAAGAGCCGGCTAATGGTGTCGGCCAGCTTTGTCCGCTGCATTATGTGATTCTCTATGAACTCAGTGTTAAAAGCTTTCCAGAGCACGTTCCAAATAGATTCCTCGAAGATAATTACCATTCTGCTCGAAGCAATCGGCGCGTAAAAATAGTTAGTTGCGCAGTCAAAGGTTGTGAGATGATCAGGCCCCGGGATAAAGTTCTGTTGCACGGATTGCCGCAAAGAAAAGACATCCTGAAGATGTGGGTGGAAAATGGCCAATTGGAAATGACGGAACAGCAGCATCAATACATGCTCAAGGTATGTCGCAACCACTTTGAGTCACGCTGTTCGTTTGATGACCGCAGGCTGCATCCCTGGAGCGTACCCACTCTGCACTTGCCAGCAGATCCCGTGCATCAGATTCCCACCAAAGAGGAGTGGCTCGAGATGACGGCCAAAGTGACCCAGGAAGCCGGGACAATCAAGCAAGAAAGGGTGGAGGAATTTCAGGAGGAGGACGAGTGTGACAACTCTCTGTTAGAACCCATTGTAAGAATGGAGCATATCGAGTCCGATGAGGAAGACTCGGAGATGCAGGCTCTGGAGGTGCTCCTGGAGGTTGGTCATGTTGAGCGGATGGACAGCTACGAGAAGGTGGACAAATCCTATAACGAACTCGCCTCCATTTACCAACCTTCTGGCATTCGGAACCAGTACAATGCCAACCACTGTGCCGTTGAGGGATGCGAGGTGACTGTTGAGGACGTGGATGGGACCATAAAGCTTCACAAATTCCCCGCCTCGTCGGAGGCTGCTAGGAAGTGGATGCACAACACCCAAGTTGACATGGACGAGAAGTTCTGGTGGCGCTATCGCATTTGCAGTTATCATTTCGATCAGGAGTGCTTCCAAAGCGCCAGGATAAAAAAGGGGGCGATGCCCACTCTACTCTTGGGACCTAAGAGACCGGACAAGCTGTTCGAGAATGAGTTTGCCATACAGGATATGGAAGAGCTTATTTTGCCTTTGCCACAAGTGACTCTGCCAAGTGAGCATAAGGAGGAGACCGTTCGAGAGGTCACCAAGTTATGCCTGCCGACGCCGGCTCCGCCTCAAAAGTCCAGCAAATTTTGTCAGATTGAGGGATGTATGAATCACCTGACCACTGAGAACATGACGCTGCACAAGTTCCCTCATTCCGAGGACATGTGCCTCAAGTGGCAGCATAACACACAGGTGCCATTCGATCCCTTTTACCGGTGGCGCTATCGCATCTGCAGTGCCCACTTTCATCCGGTGTGCCTGCTCAATATGCGACTAGTCCACGGCAGTGTGCCCACGCTGAAACTGGGAAGCAAGGCTCCCAGCGAGCTCTTTGACAACGACTTTGAGGCCATCAACCTTAGGCTGGACAAGAGGTCGGGAGCGGAGTCAGGCACCGTACAGATCAAGGAGGAAAGGGATGATGACGAAGACTCTATGCTGTTCTTAGAGCCAGAGTTGCAGCTGCACGAGGACCAAGAGGAGGAGGATGCGGCACCTGTACAAGTATCGTTTAGCCAGTCAAACTGGAAAAGCCATCTTCGTCTTCCTGTTAAGCAAGAGAAAATTACTTACAACCAGGTGAAGTCCGGATACGATAAGTGCTCGTTGGCTCATTGCCAGCGGCAGAGATCTCAGCATGGCGTCCACATCTATAAGTTTCCTAAGTCGAGGCGACAGCAAGACCGTTGGATGCACAACCTCCGCATCCGTTACGATGAGCGGCGTCCCTGGAAGTTCATGATCTGCAGCGTTCACTTCGAGCCGCACTGCATCAGCCTGAGGAAGCTGCGCCCCTGGGCAGTGCCCACGCTGGAGCTGGGCGACAATGTGCCGGAGAAGATTTTCACGAACGAACAATGCCAGGAGCTCACAACTGATCGCAGTGAGGCCGAAAGCGACGGCGGCGAGGAGGAGGATGGCCTACAGGAGGACGAGGAAGAGGAGGATGGCCTACAGGAGGACGAGGAAATGGAGCCGGAGGTTCGCATCAAGCGAGAGCGACGTTCCAAGTTCGACCCTTGGCCTCCTGGCACGGTTCCGCCGTGGAAGGTCAAGCAGTGCTGCCTCCCGTACTGCCGCGCCTTCCGTGGCGAAGGCATCAAGCTGTTCCGGCTGCCCAATAACCGCACCTCCGTCCGCAACTGGGAGCTGGCAACGGGCATGGTCTTCAAGGAGACTCAGCGAAATACGCGACTGATCTGCAGCCGTCACTTCGAGCCCGAGTTAATTGGCGTAAGGCGTCTCATGCGCAACGCCATCCCCACGCGGCATTTGAATCCCCAAGAAGGAGCCTCTGCCGAAGTTAAGAAAAAGCCAAATCCTCCTGTCCCCATTGCAACGTGTTGCATGGCTGACTGCCATCACAATGGAAATGTCAAGCTCCACAAGTTTCCCAGTGGTAAGTAAGGCTAAGCTAAGCTAAAACAAAATTTAGATGTTTAATTTAAAAATTTTATTTTTATTTTTAAAGATCCCTCGCTGCTTAGACAGTGGTGCCAAGCACTCAGGCTCACGGATACTCAGAGATACCGGGGTAAACATATCTGCTCGGTCCACCTGCCCACCGACAAGACGATAAGATGCGTTATCTGCGAGGTGGACAACGTTCAGCTGCCGATGCTGGATTTTCCGGAGCAGCGCAATCAGCGCGCCAAGTGGTGCTACAATCTCAAGATCGAGGCCATACCAAAGTGGGACCGCTCCAAACACATCTGCTGTCGTCACTTCGAGTCGCATTGTTTTGCACAGCCTGGTGAATTGCGTCCAGGTGCGATTCCCACGCTGCATTTGAACCACGACGACACGAACATATTCCTCAGCGACTACGCCACTGGTCCGACCAGCAATCGGATCAAGGACGAGCCCATGGACAACGACGACATGCTGCTGGTTTAGTCTACCCACAAGAAATCATTTTAGTCTAGTTTTAGCTGTACCATTTTATAGACCTTTTTGTACATTCATTGTACCATTGCCACATCACGTCTTCTAGTTTTACCATGTAGTCTCTACCGGTGATTTTAATGCGTTATTAATTTGTAAGTGGCTTTAGGAGAATATGCCATACAAAGAAACAAACACAATGTTCCTTAAGTTTTTGTTTTTACTTTTTATACATACGTACTTTAACTGTGAAAGAAATGTGTTTAGTTTCCATGATACATATATAAACTATAGATACATACATATTATGTAATATCCTTGAGCGTATATGTGTAGACATGTAGATGACCCAATAATAGTGGAGGTTTTCTAAATATACAAATTACTGAAACTGAAGCTAACCGATTTTAAGATAGTTTGTCCTAACTTGGGTCTTTCCTTTATGGGATAGGTTTTGCAAATTGGATACAAACCATAAGAAAAATAGACAAATCGAAATCAAAAGCTTAGCAACAAACTTCTATTTTTAACAACCCAAATATTTATGTTTTTAAAAATTGTCTTTACTGTTCTAATTTTAAATTCGGCGGGTTTATATCCACGATGAATACTATTCGTATAAAATATGAAAAAAGTATTCATCGTATAAAAGGAGGCAATCGAGTTGGCAGGTCTAACAGATGTTTTTAATAATACAACATAAACCGAGTTTTGTGATTTGTTTAATTCTTAATTGTTAAAAAAACTGGGAAAATATAATTTTTACTGAGAAAACTACTGTTCAACGGTCTCTACAGTGGATCTCAGTCGGAAACAAGAACCTCATCTCAATAATTTAGGCCTAAAATAATGTAACAGAGGATAGTCTAACAGTTCAGAGCTGAAAATGGAACAAGCGGAGGATATCCTTGTAAAGGTGGAGCCTCTGGCAGAAGAGGAATTCCTTTCAGAGGAGTGTCAAACAGAACAAGATATGGATATTCTAGTTAAAGAGGAACCCAGAATGTCGGATGAAAATCCATCGGATTTTGATTATGTGCAAGTTGATGAGGACTCAGAGTCCTTGTACATAACGAGCGAATTTAAATATATTTCGGGACTCCGTAAAAACTCAAAATTACTCTTTTTAACCAGTACAAAACATTTGTTCAAAATCAAAAGCAAGACCAAGACTGTTTCGCGTTATGTTTGCTATGTAGGAAATTGTAACGTCTCTACCAAAGTTTCAAGCCATACATGCACTCTGTCCAAAAATTGCCGCTACAATCATGATCCTCCAGAGGCATTAATAAAAAAATTGAACCTGCTCAATGCCTGCTCAATGCCGTGCGAAAAAAACCTAAAAAGGAAAGGAATTAAGGAAATTTTTGAAGAAGAGTGCCAAAAATCTAGGGAATCAGGATCCTTGGTGAACTTTTTAAAGATTCGAAGACAGCTTTTTAAAATTCAAAGTAAAGGAATGCCCAGAAAATTGCTATCCGAAAACGAAGAGTTTCTGACTGAATATGGCATATCCAAGCATATTAAAGGCCCATTTTATCGGCAAACAATTTTGGAAGACAATTTAGCATATACTATTTTTCTATCACCAAGTATTTCAAAAATTATAAAAAACAATCCAGTACTCTATTGATGGCACGTTTAACACTGTACCTTCATGTGGATACAAAAACTTAATTGTTGTCCATTTTCACTTTATGGATCACGTAAGTAAATGGCAATTGCTTTTTGAGCATGTTGTAAAATTTTATTCTTTTGTAGACTTATGCCTTAATCTATATCTTGTTGTCGGGAAAGTCTAGTGAGGCATATGAGCATCTTTTTGGCTTCATAAACCAAAACATTTTTCAATTTGAAGCGGCCAGTTTTCTGACTGATTACGATTCGGACCTTCGTAAGGCGTTAACTGCAATATTTCCAAAAGCGACTCTAAATAGTTGTTGGTTTCATTATTGCCAAGCTTTAAGACAGAAAAGTTTGAGTATTAAAACCTTTGCATGTACTATCAAAAGAAATGTTAACTGCTACAACTGGTACCAAAAATTTCAAAGCCTAGCATTGGTTGATCCAAGGCACATAGAACCAATGCTTGCGACTTTAAAATTAGACCTCTTAAATTTGCCAAAGGAGAGCCATAAAGAGCTTCAAATATTTTTGAAATATTTTGAAGAGGAATGGATGATTAAGGTGAGCAGATGACTATAACTACAGAAAAATATAAACTGTTCTTAAAACTTTTGTAGATTACCCCTCATAAATTTACTGTCCATCGTCAAGACATGACCACAACAATTTCGTTGGAGTCCTTTAACACAGTGCTTGGGCGAAAGCTAGAGAAACACTGCAGATTTTTGAAATTCCTAGAAGTGAAGATCTTACTGCATCAACAATTCTGAGTAACACTGCTAAAGAACTGCTGATTGTTGTTACCGAAAAACGCATGGAACAATGGAGTAGAAGAAATAGAATTCAGAAAGTAGTTAATGAGTTTAATGAGCAAAAAATATTATGTTTATAAGGAAATGGAGCCATTGCAGTGGGACTCCAATATGGAAACCACCGAAACGGATTCCGACAATGGGCAGGATGAAGAGGAGTGTGATGAACCCGAATGGTAGACGTCCTTAAATGCATCATATGTAATGACAAGCCTCGGGATGTGGCTTTGATGCCATGTGGTCATTTTAAAATGTGCTCAAACTGTCTTAACGATATTACATCGAAAGCGAAAACAAATGACTCTTCATTGGTCTGCCCATGTTGCAGAAAACTAGTTAAGAACCATATTAAAATAATACAATAAAAAAAATCAAAGCTCGTTTTATGTTAAATTAGGGAAATGTATAGCTTCATTGTGCGAAAATAGGTAGGTAGGTATAATTTATCTATACATCTATAACCTTCACAGTGCGCACGTGGGTCAATCATATCATACAGTACATTATCATCAAATGGAACAAGTTCTGGTGATAGATGAACCCTTATCCGACCACGAAGACAGATCCAAGTTAAAGTCGTTACTATGTTTATACCCGTTACTCGTAGAGTAAAAGGGTATACTAGATTCGTCGGAAAGTATGTAACAGGCAGAAGGAAGCGTTTCCGACCCCACAAAGTATATATATTCTTGATCAGGATCACTAGCCGAGTCGATCTAGCCATGTCCGTCTGTCCGTCTGTCCGTCTGTCCGTCTGTCCGTCTGTCCGTATGAACGCTGAGATCTCGGAAACTATGAGAGTTACAATACTGGGATTAGGCACGCAGATTCCTGAGATTCCTGCGCAGCGCAAGTTTGTTTCAGCACAGTGCCACGCCCACTCTAACGCCCACAAACCGCCCAAAACTGTGGCTCCTACAGTTTTGATGCTAGAATAAAAATTTTAACTGAAATGTATTGTTCTCATCAATACCTATCGATTGACCCAAAAAAAAGTTTGCCATGCCCACTTTAACGCCCACAAACCGCGAAAACCTGTGACGCCCACAATTTTCATGCTAGATAAAAAATTTTAACTGAAATGTATTGGTCTCGTCGATACCTATCGATTGATCCAAAAAAAAATATGCCACGCCCACTCTAACGCCCATAACGCTTAAATCTGTATACCGCCGGTAGGTGGCGCATTTTAATCTCGCTTTGCTGCTTGCATATCTCCATATAGCTGAGTAACGGGTATCTGATAGTCGAGGTACTCGACTATAGCGTTCTTCCTTGTTTTAATTTCTATTTATAAATAAACAGGTAAGTTTATTATAAATTTGTGTATTGATTTCATATATGAGCAATTTTTCTTAATAAATGTGTTTAATGATTACTGCACATGATTTTTAAATCTTGAGTTTGACTGATTCAATCAATATCTAAAAGTTCTGCGTGGAAGGTGCTATTAATTGACTTAAAAACCAAGTTTACAACTTTAATTCAAAATCTTGAACATGGTGCAGATAAAAAATAATAATATACCTGTATTTACTTTAGACGTTATTTAAACTTAAAATGTATATTAAACTGCAAGTTTTTTAAGAATCACGTTGAATTATACTACAAATTATGTTTTACTGTCAGAACTACCTATATAACCTTAACTACCAGGGTCTGCAGACCAGGTGCTACTGCTTTCCCGCCTCGTTCGTAGAGGATCCATCTTCGGTATGAGGATAACTGGCGTCCAGGAAGAGATTGCGATCCGATTTGTTTGACTGATGTGTATCAGGTAATTTGATTAGAGGGGGTTGGGATGGATAAAGCAACCTCACTTACCTCTCGGTACTTTTGCAGGTAAATGGACAGTGGCTCCACGTAGTTGTCGAATCCCAGATTGCTAAAGGCCACCAGTAGGTCGTCCCCGTTGACTGTTTTCCGGTTCTCGGCTACGCTGCGTTCGATGGCCTCGCTGCTGATGAAGGATATGAACTCGGAGACGCACTCCTGGATGCACTCGCGTGCGTCCTTGGCAATCTTGCCGTTCTGGGGCACCGGCACCTTCATGATCTTGATGATGTTGCAGATGGGCAGGAAGCGGTCCTGTTCTCGCAGCATAATCCCTCCATCCTGTTTGTCCGATTCGTCTGCAGTGGGAGACAAAAAATTAAGAGTACTGGTAAGCATAGATGGTTTCCCTCTAACCACCGGACGCCTCGTCCTCCTCTTTGACCAGCATGTCGTTCAGATACTGTTGCGAATCCTCGCTGTTGCTCATATCTCCAGATTTTCCTTGATTAGCTTAAATTATTTGGTTTTGTTTACTTTGACCAGAAAATATTGTTGTTGCAACAATCTTTGTTTTTGCATGTACGGTCATACTGTGCACAAATTGTTGGTGGTGGTTAAACGCACCTATCGATATGCATATGCATCGCATCGCTTTGGGTGGCAACGCTGCGGCTATCGATAGACAATCTCTGATCGCGGCGGTTGTACAGCGGTATTTATTGCGATGCTCTTCTCTTCTTCTTCATATTCATATTTGCTGATCTGATATCCTAAAAGCGGAAAATAATGCACGTGGACTTGGCCCTGGTCAAGCGGGAAATGGACATCGAGGACGCCAGGGTCAAGTTGGAGCCGCAGGACGATTTGCCGGACGGGAACGTCGAAGTCTTGAGCGGTAAGCCTGCAATGCTCTCCGCTCACATGCGTGTGTTTGTGCGGATTGTTTGCACGAGTATGGGTGTCGCTGTTCTATTACGCACTATACCGTTAACTTTTAATTCTTGTGAATTTCTTCAAATGTTCAGCATGCGACACTTTGAAAATCTTGGAAAAGAGCTCTCAAATGTTAACGGTGCCGATCAGGAACCGTTTGGGATCGGAGGACGAGCGTACACTTATCTCCAGCCTTGGACTCGATCAGCAGCAGGTAAATATAACCTAAAAATGCGCACAGGGGCGTAGTGAATATTCCGTTTCGGGATAATACTATATACTTAAGGACCATATCTTAAAAACTTGTAGTTTTTGACATTTGATCTTGTAAATAATAATATAAACAACATGTTTTACATGAATCCTTCTCAAAGGACTAAATCCATTTCTAGAGTAGGACTTTCCTACTACCTCTTCTATGTCCTAATCTTAACTTTTACTATTAATATTTTTCAAAAATCATTAGTCTACTTTGAAATTACTTTACGTTACTTGAAAAGTTATAAAAAAAAGAAGATATTAAAGTGTAAGCTACTTTTAAAGCAAAACTGATTTTCCTAACTATATAATTTAAACAAAATAATTTGTATTTATTAATTATGTATTAATGTGTCATATTGTATTTGCAGTTACTCGCAGTTTCATCGGAGGACCAGCCAACCCCAAAAGAATGCAACATCTGTCATTACGTGTTTGAAAGTCACCTGGATTTCTCAGGGCACCGAGTCAACCATGAAATGAACCGCCATTTCTGTCGGCTGGGATGTGGCATCTGGTTGGACACTCTGGAACAGATCCTCGAGCACGAATATCGCCAGCACTCACCGCCAGGACATGTTTATTGTTGCAGGGTGAGCTCTTTTAATCTATCTTTATATACATCTCTAAAAAACGAATATTTTAGGTTTGTGATTTCTTGGCCAGAGATGCGGACTGCCTGGCCAGCCATATGCAGAGGCACATATACGTGTATCGATATGCCTGTGCCATTTGTCGTCGGCATTTCGAGTCCAACCAGAGCCTTAGTCTGCATAGAAAGCATGACCAGTTCCTGTGCGGGCGGGTGCAGTACATGCAGGGTCTGTCCTCCAAGCCAGAACTTGTGGCAGTAATTACACCAGTCTCTGCCGAAACGCTGTGCGATGTACAGATTAAAGAGGAGCCGCTCAACGCTGAGGAAGGAGAACAAATGCATTTTGAAGACAATCCGCCGATCAGCGTTAAATTGGAACCACAGGACGAGGAAATGCCGGATGTTATCATTAAGGAGGAGGAGGAGTGTTCCAGCAATAAAGGAACTATCTGGCCAACCATACCGACTCCACTAAGAAACAAACTGCGCTTGCCTGCTTTGAGCTCCGGCAAAGTGCCGGTGGATTTAAAAAGTAAGCATTTGGATATAGTTAATACATCTTAAATATAACACCTCTCCTTTGCAGCTGCTAAATGGAATGGACAACCCAACTCAAATGTGGCGTCCCTAAACAAGACAAGCTACCAGGCAGTGAATAATATCTTAAAGATACCCACAAATCCTAACCACACTATAGTGCCACAGAAAAAGCCTCCGATTGCAGCCAATATACTGAAAGTATTGCCCAGCAACTGCATGGTCATTAAATTGCCGCCCAACACTAAAATCTTTAAGATGCCAGTACAAGCGCCGATTGCCTCAAAGGAATCCCATACAGTTAGTCTGGGTGACAAGGAAATGTTAAATGGTGTCATCAAGATTCCCCAGGCGATAAGTATAAGCAAAGTCAAATCGGTAGATAATACTGCAACTATTTGCAACCCTACGACTATCAAAACTGTGTTGCCGGCTCAAACCCACAGCCGGTCATCCTGCTTTCTGGTCGACGCCTTTAACAAATCGGAAAGCCGGCCCGAATCCATGAAGATAATTACGGAATTTCGTAATCAAATACGCTCCATAGAGAAGACATTGCCACTGCCGGGAACAGTGCTGCAATCTTCAAAGATAAGCAATGATCTTCCACCTTTACCTCCGTTGGTTGGACCGGATGCACCCAAGCCCGTTGAACTGACTCTCAACCCACTTTGCTTTATAGTGGCGAAGGAACTACAGATCCAGTATCCACTCTACCGTTTTATGTGGACCTGTCCGCATTGCCAGCGATTCTTCGAGAAGCATTGTGCATTTCGTATGCACCTGACTAGCAAGCATGATTTGACCCAAGAAAAATTGAACAGCCTCAAAGTGATATTAATGCCTTACAAAAGTAAGTATATATTGTTGCCGCTCTATTATTAGGCTTTAAATTAAACGTGCACGGATACCGCTGTAGAGATTTGTGACTTTAACTCTATGCCCACAAAGTGCACGAACATTAAACTAAAAATGTTCTCCGATGAGCCTGGCCGTTTGAGCTTCGAACCAGGAACAGATACGGAACATACAAGCTTTTTTTTATCATTTCTCTTTTTACACTTATCATCTGTAGTCAATTAACATAATTTTATCTCCACTTTAGTTCTCTCATTGGATTCATCAGACTCTGAGCCTAAGATTGCTCATGTGCCATTGCCAACGGCTTTGGAAACGAAGCCACAAGTGCCAGAACCTACTCCAAATCAAGACAAGACTGTTAATTTGCCATTTCAGCAAAACGATGCAGCAGCTTTGAAGGATCAAACACCGGCATTATCAAATCTTACTCTTAACAAAGATTCAACATCCCCAATGAAAAATCCAGATAAATCAAATGGCCCAAAGAAGTCAAAGAAGAATCAAGGGAAAAGTGCTCAGTTTCAGTGCACGGACTGCTCCAAAGTATTTACTACTTTCGGGGCCCTACGCATCCACAAGACAATCCACACGGGCGAGTTGCCGCACAAATGCAGCTATTGTGACAAACGTTTCCGTACTCCTGGTCAGGTGCGTGTGCACCACCGTCGTCACACCGGAGAGAAGCCGTTTAAATGCAAGGTAAGGATTATGTCTGTACTATTAGTTGCATGAATTACTACTGCAGTGGAACAGTGTTTTGTCATTATTATAATAATGAATTGTATCTTTGTAGGTCTGCTCATTGGATTTCACTCACCGGGAAACTCTGATTTCCCATCTTTCGCGCCATATTGGAATGAAGCGTTATAAATGCTATGGATGCGATAAATACTTTGTAGTCGTCAGCGGTTTACGAGCCCATCGCCGCCTACGTCCTGACACTTGCGGCAAGGTGAAGTTCACAGCTCGAGCTCACGGCCCCCGAGTGCGGGTCATCCGGGGAGAAGTGATCTTTGAACATCACCCAGAACACAATGGATACCTACGCAGTGAGGATCCGCTTAACATTTTGTCCCAACGTGATCAGACCGACTCAAACCCACCCGAAACAATGTAGGGTATAAGTTTATTGTTATGTTTTCTTTATTTTACCACTTTAGCTTTGCCATTATGATATATTTTGTAGTATTTTTTAAAAATGCGATAAGAGATATAGAAGTAAGATCTTGATCCATAGGAAAAAATTACAAAAGATAATGCCATGAATTATAATTTTTTTATTATTCGATTTTTGACCCAAATATATTTGTTTATAAAAATACACTCTAATTCATATATGACTGTGTGGCGGTATTAAGGTTGTTCAAAACATCTCTTATCAAGCAATTGAAAAATTTAAAAGCTATCCCCCTATAATATTTTTTGGTAACCTTTACCATGAAAGCTGATAACAATTTTATAATACTAAGTTGATGATTAAGAGCAAGTCAAATTGCACTTTTACTTTCCATTTGCATAAAAAAAAGGTGTATTAAATTGGTTTTATTTTATTGAACTGATCGTCGTTTAGTACTTATTTTTGAATCTCAGGACTTCTTCCATGAGGGCTTCATGTCGCTGAACATCATTAGAAGTTATGTATTTGTCAATCGCATTAAAAACCTCACTTTCCTGGGCTATGGTTGCCGGAGTCAGCTTCGATTTCATTTGGGTGGCACCTTCCGTAAATTTATTATGCACTTTCTCGTCCTCCTTGGCGAATTCACTGGCAACGCCCAGTAATCCGATAAGGCTCATTCCAATTGTTTGTGCCTCGGGGGTCGATTGAACTAAGCTTTCCTTGAGACCTTCAAACACGCCTTGAAGATCGTAGATGTAGAGATATTTCTCAGCAGTAGAGCCATGCTGACGGAGGTTCTTGCCGCGGTTAACATAGGTCTGTAGGACAGATGTTCCAGGTCCACGTTGCTCAACCGGCACACTATCCACTATCTGCTCCACAAAATTAACTGTGATGAGCAGCATATTGTGAATTTGAATGCCACGAATGGTCTCGGCATAGCGAAAGAATTGAGACAGGATCTCCTTTTGCGATCTTGGAGGTGCAGCACAGGTAAGGCTCTGCGGAATATGCATAACATTGAATTAAGAAGCACTCTTTCTTTTAATACTTACCAAAACAGAGAGCAAAAATATAAATGTGCACCGCACCTTCGTCATGATTTAATTCGACTCAAAAATTTTGGAACAGACTTCGGATTTTTATACTCTTGCCACACCCGCCGTTTCGCCTCTTTATTCACGTATTAGTATTGAATTGATATGTGAAATTGTCTTCGGCAGAAGAGGAGAGCGATCATGAATTGGAATGATGAAATCTTCTTATCAGCATCACAAAGAGAGAAGAGTCGATAGAAGCTAATACGTTCTGCAACAAATGAAAGCGGAAGACAGTACACTTAAAACAAAAAGTATGTTACTTTCTTTTATTTCATCTTTTATTATTTCTTGTCATTCGGTTTTGCAGTTTTTTGAAAATGATAAATTATTTGTATGGTATTTTTAAACATAATATGATATTCTTAACCATAAATTAATGCGAAATACATACGCTCATCTGTTTCTTGATTAGTATAATCATTATATTGTTTGCTTGTCTGTGTATCATGTTACATTTAAAATTGTTATATCTTTCTATTTGTAAAACATATAAAACAATTTATATTTTAACAAAATTTGACAAGCCGACAAATTTGTGTAATATACAATATATTCGTACTTTTCAATTGATTTATATGTTAAGTTTAATACGATTGCAACACTCTGCGTGGGTACCTTTATCTAGACATCTATTGTTGCTAGCGCTATAGTTTAATTTAGTATCTCTCGTTTTATTCCAAACATGCCCAGCCGGCCAACATCGCCGCAAAATTTACTACTTCCTAACACATCCGATCCAATTGGCAGGGGCAACGCGCTAAAGTTGTTATAACAAATACTTTTATTCCGTATAAATATTTAGTTTACATATGACTATTGTTGTTTAACATGTGTTTCAGCTAATAATTTAGTGTTTGCTTTTAAGCATTTGCTTGCTAACTTTTTGTATATATTTATGTATAAATACGAGGCCGAATTTAAACGTTCTGCAAAACAGCTTATCAGTTATATACATTACTATGTACCTTAACACCTATTGCCAATGTCTTGATTTATGTTTTTTTTTTTTGCTGGTTTCGCTCTATTTTATGGTAAAAATTATATGCTACAGTACATATCTACAGTTATCATTCTAATCTGTTCGCTTGGTTAATATCTATGCCTTCATACACCTTAGGTACAATAATTGTTTAGCTTTTCGATCTAAATTACACATACATACGTGGCTAGCTTGGGTATCGACTGTGGTATATACAGGAATGTACTGGGGAACTGAATAGAAGTTGTGGGAATGAGGTTAAAGTTTCAATTAGCTGCTTAGCCGGAAGTTGCGTCTGTGTCTCCTCGGTTTTAAGAATTAGAACCGTCTGTTAGCTACCAAGACATCGATCAGTCCTTCAAATTCGTCATTTATTATAGGGGAGATCAAAACTTAAGTCGTGTTTGAAAACTAATTTTAGAATCTAGCTGCCTTATAGAATATGCACTATGCAAGACTTTTGACTAATTGCACGGATTGTTTATACTGGTTTTCAACAACCTAGGCATAAAAACTGATTAACATAGCGTTATTTGATTGATTGTATTACTCATACGTTTTTATATTATAATGGCAATTGGAATTTGCTGCCAATTCGCCAGAAGATTGCGATTTAATTCAAATGGCTTCTACTTTCGACCCTATCCATCCTTTCCAGATTTGATTTAGGCGGTAAGACTAATAGCTACCAAGTCCTTAGTTCAAATATGTATCGGTTTCCAGTGGTCCGCCCCATTCATGGCCATTCTGGTGGCAGTTCCACGAACAACAAGTTGATTGACTTCCTCCTCCTCCATTAGCGAGCAAAATCTTGATGCACATATAGAAGTGCATATGGGCTGATATATAAATTTCTGATAATTAAACGTGTAACAGTCTTTTTAAGTTTACATTATCAATAAAATCAAACTTAGTGAAAGATCGAGACCCCAAAGTAATCGTAATTGCAACATAACCTTCGGGCGGGGGGTGCGCTTATCAACTAAACATGTCCACGTATATAAGTATAGGTGTATTAAGTAAGTGTGGGCAGTAGCTGGCTATAATACTTTAGAGTTATGATATCCGTGTATATCGTAAATGCGTATTATGCGTAGAGTTCGAAATAAGTATGCAACGAACGCAGGGTCGATGAGTTTTCAGCTCAGTTTGCATAGTTGTCGAATGAGCCCAAGTACTCCAATGCAGCGCGATAGCAGAAGTGGTATTGATCCTATAATATTAAAAAATATGAATGTAAATTTTCCATGCATATATTAAAAGTCCAGTGTGAAACCCACCTCGGTTTGCACCATAGCCGGTCGTTGGGAACGCAGGATGCGCACTGTCTGGAAGACATCCAGCACACCCTCGTACTGCATACGCTCTAGAACAATGCTCAGGGTGATAAAGACACCCGAACGTCCCACGCCCGCTGAACAATGCACGGTGATAGGTCCATCCTGGCCAAACTGTTCCTTGGTCTTGTGCACTTGTCCGATGAAGTCAATGAAGCCCTCGCCCGACTTGGGCACCCCCTGCTCCGGCCAATCGATGAACTGGAACTGGCGCACTGTGCGCGAGGATCCATCTCGAGCATCAGTTACCTACAGACAAAGCGGATTTAATTATTTTCCAGTTATTTATTATTAAAATAAGTTTTTGAACCCACCTTAAATTCACGCAGCTTATACTGCGGCATGTTGTACTCAGCAATGGGATCCACGACATAATACTGATAGCGCACGGATCGCTCATGAGGCCAGTATTGGAAGCACTTCTCCTTCGAAAAGAAAAAGCATTAGTTTATATGATACTAAGGGTTTGAGGATTTATTCTTAAACTAAATAACTACTGAATGGATAATCCAGAAAATACAAATGAGTGTGGTAGCTTACCCTGCCCATTTCCTTGAGCTTGGTCAGCATGACCACAATGGTGGAGTTGTGCTCCCAGAGCATGCGCCAGAAATCCTCTGCTGCATCCTGCACAGGACCCTGGGCGGCGATATAGGCCGATCGGTAGCGATAGCCGTCAATGAAGCTGGCGTTGACATAGTCGCTGCCCTCGATTCCATGGATGGGGGTCAGGTAGACACGACTCGATTCGTATGGCAGAATGTGGACCAGGCGGTTCTTGTGTTTGTTGCACGGCAGATTGGCCGTTACGAACTTGGACGAGTCCATCTTGACATTGGACAGCTTCTTGAACTCCACCTCCATGCCGGAGATACTCTCGCCGGGCTCCGTGATCAGTAGCTTCTGCAGATGCGTGTGCAAGTTGCGGGCCGGCACCTCCGTCATGCCACAGATGATGGCCTCAATGATGGCGTCATGGATGAAGATGTACTGATCCTCCGTCTGAACCATATAGTTGCGTTGCGCTCTCAGGCACGTGACATGCCCATAGATGTCGATGATCTTTTCGTGCTTCATTCGCTCCAGCATCGAATCGATGACGATGTAGCAGCCGGTTCGACCCACTCCAGCCGAGCAGTGAACGATCACGGGTCCCGATTCCGGAGGCGTGAGAGCGCGACACCGACGCAGGAACTGCAGGAACGGAGCCGGATGATCGGGCACCCCATGATCCGGCCAGGCGGTGAACTGCAGCTGCTTGATCTCGCGCCGATCGTTGAAGCCCTGCCGGCACAACTGGAACGTCCGGATGCTGTAGGTGGCCAGCTCCTGGGTCTCCGTGATGGTCACAAAGATCTGGCCATAGGTCTCCGTTCCGCGAGTGGGCCAGTACTGGTCGCACTTAATGCGTGTTCGCTCCTCCAGTCGCGTCATCATCACAATGGTGGCCGTTTTCAATTCCCAGCACATGCGCCAGAAGTCCACAAAGGTTTCCTGCAGCGGTCCCTGGGTGGCCACATAGGCGTTGTGCTTCCGATAGCCATCACAGTAGTTGGCATTAATGTAGTCCGACCCAACCACACCCTCCACTGGCGGCAACTGGACACGGGAATGATCGTAGGCGGTGACATTGGCATAGCGATTCTTCGATTTATTGTGCTCCAGATTGGAGTTGTCCCAGGTGAACTGCTGGCCCGGCTCAATGCTCTCGTACTCCTGCGAGAACTTCTGATTGTCGTTGGCTTTGAGGCGTTCGATATGGTTGGCGAACTCCGAAATGGGTATGGGCGGATGGGAGATCATGCCGGGTGTCTGAAAGTTCAGACGCCTCATGTCCACGGGATCGCTGGGAGTGGGTCCGGCTCCCAAGTCGGCGGCCATCAAGGGTCGCGTTACGGCTGCTTGATCCGGGGTCTTGCATGGCTGACGACGACGTTTCACCACACAGAGAACAATCAAGGCGGTGGACACGATGAAAGTGGATACCATCAGGGGGAGCACCACCCAAAGGATCTCTGGTTCGTCCTTGTTGCGATTGACCGACACCTCCGGCTCCGCAGGCCAATTGGGGTCGGGTCGATGGGGCCGCTCCCCTGGCGGAGCTTCCCGCATATCCAGCGATAGGAACTCGGAGAAGGGACTGGAGGTGTAGAGATGCTTCTGCGGCGTGTCCACCACTGCCCGCACAAAGATGCGGTAACGCTTCTCCCGCTCCAGCTTACGATTGGTAAAGTTATGGTAGTCATCACCCGATCCTAGGTGGAAGGTGAAGGGTATGGAACGCTGTGGAAACTTGGCCGCAATGTAGGGTGCATTAGGACGCTCTGGTTTGTTCCTACCCGGCAGCAGATCATCGGTGAGGAACTGATCGGGTATCTTGTGCAGATTGGACTTGTCCTCCGGCACCACCACCAAGTAATAGTGCGAGATGGGTCCATATTCCTCCGAGGCCTGTGGCAGTATCACCAGAATCTCCTCGCCATTGACCACACCATAGAAATCCGGCTTGACCATCGGCTGTGGAGCTGCCATTTGGGTAGTCACCGTGATCTTGGTGGGCGGACGATATGAATAATCCGATGGAATGGCACTCACGTTCACATTGTACGTGGTAAAGGGACTCAGTTCGTTAATCGTATGGGTCTTCACATAGTGCTTCAGGATGATCTCGCGCTTGGGAACGATCTGGGTCTGCGAAAATCCTTGCGAGTCCACAAACACCTTCATGGCATCGAAGCTGATCTTGTAGTTAACCGGAGTTAGGCGGATGGGTGGCGACCAACTCAACGTCATTGAATGGGTGCTGACATCGTGGGCACGAAGATTAAGGGGCACATCTTCCGGCTTAATCCGTACCGTCACCTTCTCGCTGAGACGTCCCAAGCCGTTCTTGAACCTTGCCGCAATGGCCACGGCATATTGGGCAAACTTCTCCAGATTGACCAGATCAGCGGATTCCGTGAGGCCAACCGTCTTCGTTTGCCAATCGTCCAGATCCTCGACGGCGGTCATGGTATAGAAGATTTTGTAGCCAAGCAACTTGCCTCGACTCGTCACCGGTTCCCACCAAATCTCCGCCGTTTGCTCGGAGGTGGCCTCCGCCTGCAGGGACATCGGTGCCCGGCCCATGTCGCGTTCCGTCTCCACGACCAACTTGTCACTAAAGGGACCGGCTCCTTGTTTCGTATAGGCCCTCACCCGGAAGATGTATTCGGTGTTCTCCTCCAGATTCGTGAAAACCGCCTTCCGAAGCGTCATATTCCTCTCAGATCCAAGGCCATGATCGATTTTCTTGTGAAACTGGACATCGTAGCGGGTGATTATGCCATTCCGATGTTCCCTGGTCGGTGGATCCCACGTAACGCACAGCACATCCGGAGTTTGGAAGCGTATGGTGATGTTCGAGGGCGGTCCACCGGGTGTGCCTTCGGGTGTCTGGAATATTTTCACCGTCTCCTGACCGATACCGATGTGATTACTGCCCGCCACCCGGAATTCGTACTCCACTCCGCGTTCCAGGTTGTCAAAGCGTTTTTTGGTCATCTGGGGTCCCGATAGCATCTCCTCCTTCAAAGACTGATCCTTGACGCCCCAGCGAAGGCGATAGCCACGCAGTTCGCCATACGTCTGCGCCGGACGCTCCCACTCCAGTTCGATGGACACGATCGGTTCCCGCTCCATGATCTTCAGGCTCACCGTTGGCCGAACTGGCACTCCGCCAGGGGTTTTCACCACAATCGCTGCACTCCGGTCACCATCGCCTTTGCGGGTCAATGCAGCCACCTGGATGGAGTACTTGGTGTCCGGCTGCAGGCCAGTGACATTGAACTCCAGCATGTCCACCACATCGAATTTAAAGGGTTCGTTGAGGAAGCCCTTGCCCTGTTATGGGAAGATCAAATGGAGATGATTATAAGGAAATACAAATTAACTTTTCAAATTCGATTTCATTTCATTATGGTTTTTAAGAAACAGTTCTTGAGCTATTCACAAAAAACATAGTTTTTCGGATATCTCAACGGTTCAAAAAGGTTAATTTCGAATATTTCTAATAATCTGTAAACTCTAATCTTGCCAATCTTTCCTAGTTCTCCCTTTAGAGGCAGAAAACTCACTTCATCTCTCAGCTCCTGGGCATGTATGTGATAGCCACGTATGATACCATTGCGATCCTTTTCGAGTGGCGGTTTCCAACTGACATGGATCGATGTGGAGTTCAACGGCGTGGCCTTTACATCTTGCGGATCTCCGGGCACTAAATGCGGCGACGAAGAAAATTGCGATTAGCTAAGGGTACTCACAAGGGCGAAAACAACTGGAGACATATAAAGATAGCTTAACTTATGACCTAAGGTGATTAACATTAACTTACTTAACACTGTAATACATGATCTTATATATTTTTAATATACAGACAGGAAACTATGACTTCTATTATACTAAATGCTTAGAACCTATGGGTAATACATATACAAGAATATATGTTGGTAGTACAGAACCAGAACAAACCTAGTTCCAAGTCAATGCCATCACCACATCACAGACAAAAACAGATTTGAATTAAAATAAAAGTCGGAACTGGAGGAACCAAACAACCAAAGTGCTGCTTAGGTGCTATATAATTGGTATGTGGTAGGGGTTGCTCAATAGGTGCTCAAAATTTAGTAGAAGGTGCAGTTTATACCTAGATATAGTATTTTTTAAGATAGTATAGACCATTACTTAAGGAGTATGGTGGCAAAAAAGTACACAAAAAATGTTGGCCATCGCAAATACTTGGATTTCGATGTCCATCTCGTTTCACTTAGCAAAAACAAACATGTAAGCATTCAAAAAGTTGTTACTTGGTTGTGTGCAAAAAACATATAATGGTAAATCAAAAAATAGTTTTATACATATTTTCTATACACTTATGCTGCTTATTCAAGAGCATTAAAAATCCTTGCCGACCTCTTAAATGGTTTGGTAAGATTTTCAAAAAATGTCGAAATAGAGAAACATCAAAAAACAAAAGAGATGTGATTCTTTTAGTTATCGGTCGAAACTTTTTGGACCAATTCAAAAATGTTTTTTTGGGAAAAAGAGTATAGGTATAGAAATAGAGATGTATAGTATAGTATAGATAGTATTTTGCTATGGGGCATTCTTAAACATAATACATAGTCAACCATTAAATATACTCACTCTTTTTCTCTAAATAGTTTTAAAATGTTTTATTTGTATTATATATTAGGATATAAACCACCATCCATTAAAGGTTGCGTTCAAAAATCAAATTTCGCAATAATTTCGTATTCACATCAAAAAAGTTTCAAAAAGATTGTGTTTTTTTTTTTGGTTTTTGGTTTTTTTTTCCATTTTGATTTGCATTCAAAAAAAGGTGCACGAAACAGAGCAATTGGTGCAAGGTGCGAGTGGCCAAGCAAAGTTATTTGGTTTTGTTTTAATAGTATGTGAAAAAAGATATAAAATATAGGTATTTAGTTTACAGTATACAGTTCCAAAAAGGGTTACTAGTGCACAAAATTGGTTAAAATCCAGAAAAGGAAAGGTGAACAACTAAAGATGGAAAACATGATACAAAATCTACATATTTGTTGGCACACCGCTTTGATACTGTACAGTGTTCTTATGATTTTTCCATTTACTTTGATTTAGTTTCAAAATTATGTGGTAGTTTGTAGATTTAGAACACCCAATTATTATAATTTATGGGTTAACTTAAATTTTACAAGTAACTTACCTCAATTTATTTTAAGATAATATGACAAACATTTATAAAGCTTAAGTATACCCTAGAATACTGATTATTGAATAATTCTTATTATATAGCTTAAGGAGTTGAAACTTCCCAATATATTCATTTAAATTATTCTTTAAACTGAGATCTCATATTTGATAATTTTGTACATATACCATTCATTATATAGACAATGTTTCGCTGCCTGGCGGGGTTCCTTGCCCCCAATCACTGCATTTGGGTTCATTAAAAATGTTAAATAAATGCATAATACAAATTATTCAAATGCAACTGGCAGCACAAAAATGTTAAATTATGCTTCATTAGTGTCCTGCAGCTTGGCAGCTCATCTGCTTAACTTTTTCAGCCGAAAGCAGCAGATGGAAGGGGTCAAATGCTGCATTTTTGTCTCATTTTTTGTCATTTCACATCCATTCACACCAGGTGAGAGATACACCTGCGCACACACCAACGCACATACACATCAGTGCACTAAAAATATAAAATAATTAAAATGCTACCGTAGAAGTGTTCTCTATTTTGTATTCCTTTTTTTCCCCCGTGCTCCTTTTCTGTGCTGAATGGAACAAACGAAGCAAGGAGCGCGTGCTAAGCTTCCAATGCTCGAGGTGCTCATTTTTTAACTTTATTTTTTATTTTATTTTATTCCATATATATATATGTATATAGTATAGGATGTTTTATTTTTTGGTGTATATGTGGGCAGGACGTGTGCGAATGTCTGGGTGCACAAAGGGGTAGCTGCTTGCTTTACGAATCTTTCCCAGACCCAGAACCCGAAGAGCGGTACGATATGAAAAGCAAGTGCCCAGCTTTAGACAGGTGGAATGCATTTGCATTTGCATTTGTGCTGTGGCAGCTAACAAGCGCATCACATCATAACGAAATACGCTCCCAACATACGAAACACAAAAATTAGTAGAAAAAGGACAAGTGAAGAATGTTATGGTCGAGTGTACCGACCATTGAATACCTGGTACCGAACCACTCGTATGATTGATATGAAATTTGGGATGTGATTGGTAAATAGAAAAATATAGGTTTTGAATTAAGGTCGACGATTCTATCTTTCAAACTTAAGGCGCTGCAGGGGTTTTCAATTTTGGACTTCCTAAGTATCTTTGCTTTTTATCAGAAATACATATATTTTATAAAGTCAAAAGGGAATTCTATTTTGACCATTTGATTTTTTCGGGTACGGGGTATTAAAATTAGTAAAAAAAAAAACAAAATGTTTAAAATGGCATGTACATAGAGTACTGCCATGTGCTGACCCTTTAATGCTGGCCCAGATGGTTCTACTGCAGCTTGTGAGCCGCTGGCTATAAGTGCGACAGAAGGAAGTGGAAGAGAGGTTGCTTTGGTTGGAGATATGTGGCCATTCGCCTCCGGTTATGCCAAATTGAGTACAATTAAAACGAAATTCAAGTCAGTCACAGATAGCTCAATGGCGTTGCGGTGCTTTGGTGCTGTTATTGCTGCTGCTGGGTTTTGCACAGAGAGAAAACCAGCTCTACTTTAAGAGTTGAATTTCATTTAATTATATTACCGAAAATGGAATAATTTCATATTCAGTTTAGCACGTTCCGTAGAACTATTATATTACGTAGTCGACTAGTTAAACAGCTTGTTAAAACTAGTTTTCTTATTTCAATTTACAAGTAAGGAATTATAAAGTTTTTTTTTTTTTTAATCTTTTGGAACCAGAAAAAACTATATATTTTTGTATTAAATATTGCTGAAGGCTGGTTAAAAATCCCTTAAGTTAGTTTGTTTAGGCACGTTCCTTAGAACTATTGTATTACGTAGCCGACTAGTTGAACAGCTTGATAAAACTAGTTTTCCTATATCAATATACAACTAAGGAATAATTAAAAATTGTTATTTTATTTTTATTTATTAGAACTAGAAAATACTATTCATTATTTATTAAATATTGCTGAAGGCTGGCTAAAAATCCCTTAAGTTTGTATTATACCGAACTTTTGTTATTAGAGATCTGTTAAAGTTTCGAACAAACGATTATTTCTCTCTGAGCAGCCCTGCAAGTGATTGTAAACTTTCTGCAGGAAACATTCACTCATTTACTTGTCCTTCTAGATCGCATTGTGTGTGCTTTTGCCTCAGCTTGAGCCTGTGCATAAGGTGCGGTGCTATCGGTGCTGCAGACTTAATGCTAAGCTTATTATAACATCTAGAGTGAGCTAAAAGATGCCAGGAGCGTGTCACAATAAACGAGTGGGTGAGAGAGAGCGAGTGAGACGTACACTAAGGTGCTTAACAATAAGTACATTTAATTTACAGTGCTTAGCCAAAATAAAATGAAGTGAATGGGCCACCACACTCAGATGGTGTTGAGCTCTTGAAACACACAAATTGAGTAGGTACTTTATAAAGAAAACTGTTTTCTGTTTTGAACAAGCAAGTTAACGTCTAACAAGCAAATGAAGGTGGGTTAAAAAGGTGATTTGGATGTGTGTTTGGATTTTTTATTGAACGGAATTTATAAGTGAAAAGTATAATATAATGTATTTGGGTCATGGCCGTTTAGTTTACTCAAATAGAAAACTCAATGGATACATTTAATCTGTGATGTTCTGATGGGTAATAATATCACAGAAGTGCTGGGCAAAATTAAGTATTCGTGAAATAAAAATACGGAACAGTAATTCACAGGCTTCAAAACCATTTTCAATCGGACAAAAACATTTTGAGGGTTGATGGGGCAAACGATGAAGAGTGCAAATATGCAAATGTGTTAACTGTGCAAACATGCAGGTGATTGCAAATAAAACTTAATAAAATGGGTAAACAACACAAAATATACAAAATTATGTGCGTAAATAAAAAGTTCGGTTAATTTTGTGCAGAAATCAATTTAAGGATTTGTCATTTGCTGTGCCTGCGTTCGTTATTTGCATAGCAATAAACCAAAAAACAAAAATCCATTTAAAAACGTGCGACATTGCGGGGCTTTTGGGGCATTCGTGGTGGGATTGGGATGTGTGGAGCTGCCACTGGTGACAAAAGTGCAAAAACCGTGTGCCAAAAACCAAACAGATAGGGGTAGAGCTGTATACTGGGCTAGGGCTCAAAAATTATAGTACACCGAGCTTTTGTAAACGTTATTAAATATGTATGCATTTATGTAAATATCACACATGTAGATGTATTGGCAAAGGTGTGTTTGCAGGTGAGCGCCAACTGAGGAAAAAAAAATAATAAATAAATAGAGCGAAACATTTTGCGCTATTTGCTTTGGGTAAACATTTGAATACAAAAAAAAAAGAAAACGAAATATGTGCGGGAAATTTATTGGGTTCAGGAACGGGGTTATTATGGTTATAGCCCCTCCTTAGGCTCCACCTGGGTTGTGTTTACATTTATAATTGCATACATTTAATTATGCAAATAATTAAATAAAATATTTAATGCAAACAACCTAAAATCAAATTTGCGTATAGGTTTTTGGGGAATTAGGATCGTGTGTTGGGTGTTGTGCTTACAAAAACTATATGAAAATGCCAAAAATACAAAAAGATTACATTGAGTTCATGGTGATTTTTGGTGCTATACAAATTACCACAAACAATTGATGCATTATATTCAAAAATATTTATTTATAAAATTTGATTCTTTATATTCATATTAAGAGATATATCTTTGGTGTTGTGCATTTCTCGAGACGATTGCGAGTCAAGAAGTAAAAGTAACAAAAATATTTTTGCTTGCATATAGTACACAATACATAGGAGTTTTTCTAAAAAGAGATATTTTCTTTTTTCATAGGAGATTTTGTGCAAAAAAGTAGTCAAAAATTGCGCCAAAAAATATGCAATTTCATAGTGCCAATAAGAAAATTTTGTAGATGTTTTTTAAAATTTCATTTGAATATACAAACGAATTTTTACAAATTATAAGGTAAAGAAAGGTGGAAAATATGATAAAACCAAAGCTAAATAATATATGGTATATGTTAAGAGACAGCATAAATATGTATCTTAGCATTACAAATGTGTAATCAATGGATCCCTAGCGATCCTATAAAACTGGAAGGTCTTTATATTATCAATATTTTTAAATAGGTTTAATATCAGACTAGAAGAAAAATGCCGGGAAGGCTAAAATATAGAATTTCAATATTTTTATATTTCGCAAAAATTTAACTGGTCTGATTAGCCAGTCTTCGGACAGACTTCTGAATTTTCAAATCATAATATTTTACAATACTACAAATAATAACTAGCTGTTTTCAAAACGCTTATTTACAGCTAATTGGTTAAAAAAATATATATATTTGTGAACTGAAAAATGATATAGATATCTTGATAAATATCAGATAACGCTCCATAGTGCTTAGCCGCTCCTGTGGTGAATGCTCCCGATATCAAAATTCAAAAATTGTACAAAATACGTTCGATTAGTTTCAGGTTGATATTTTTTTTTCTCAGGGGGTACGATAATGGATAACGAGTTAAAAAAATGACTAAAAAACATAACTTAGGATGAGTGTAAAATTAAGAGTAAGGTAAAAAACATAATTTAAAATAAGTAAAGTATAAAGGGGGGAAAACGAAAAATTACGATAGGACTTACGCATAGGTAAGATCGTTATTGGCATACATACCATCCTCTTGGGTGCGCAAAATGATGGGATGGGATCGCGGCCCATCGCCGACGGATGTGCCGGCCAGTACCCAGATTTTGTACTCTGTCCAGCGCTTCAGCTCGTCGAGCACAATGCTGGTCATATTGAGGGTCATTGTGGTGGCCTCGTCGTCTTCGCGACCCACCTCCACGAAGAACACCTTATAGTATATGATCCGACCGTTCGATCGTTCGACGGGCGGCGGCAGCCAGTTAAGCGATATCGTCGTAGAGCTGGTCGCAATGGCGGTGATATTTCGAGGCGGTGCACCTGGTACTAATTACATAGATGGGAACGGAACGTATTTGTGTGTGCATTGATTTTTTTTTCATGTTTTTGATTTGTTTTTGATTTGATTTGTTTGTTGGTTGGGTTGTTTATTGGGTTGTTCATTGTTGGTTGATGCATAGCCATGGTTGTAATTTTTTTTTTTTTTGGATATGAGATTTTTGGTTTGTTCATAGCGTTATCAGCAATTAGCGCAGAGAATACAAAAATATTTTGTCAAACCAAATGAAAATGGATAACATGAAACGAAAAAGCCATAAAAGCAAAATAATATTAAAATCATAGGGAATATAACATGGTTTATATAGGCATAAAAATATATCGAAATAAATTCAAATATCAAGACATAGCTCCAATGGTTTATGCAAATAATGTTGACTCCTTTATTGCGTTCGTCAATAATTTGTGCATATTTTTTGGTAACGACTTTTTGAGCTGAAAATTTTCCCAACTAACTACTAGAGAAGCATACCCATCATGTCATGCATAGCTTAGGGAAAACAATAAATAAATGGAACTAAACAATCACACAACATTTACATATATACACACGAAAAGACATTCATTTGCATAAACCATGGGAATTTGGCATACTTTTGTTACATATAGAGAAGAACAAATTAATAAACTACGAAACTAAAAACTAATAATAAAGGTGCGAAAAGTTTTAAAGGCAGTATAGCTAAGGTAGAAATTCAAACTGAACAATACAAATGCCCTAAAGGCACCGCTAAGAAACTAGAAATTCTGGCAAAATTTCTGCAGGCAGGAACTCAAACTTGAAATCAAGCACAAAGCTAAAAACAATTCCAAAATAACTTTGTGGCTTGTCTTTATGGCAAACGTCTGAGCCACATTAAGTGCCGTGGCACAGACAATCATTTACATTTTAATTATGCGAATATGCAAAACGTGCAAATATGGAAACCAAAAGTGATATTTATGCCACTGCCAAGAACTTTGCACTTCCGGCATTTGTCTTCGCGCCGGTCTATTAAAATATCATTCAAAATCAATTTTCTAGACACTGGATGCAGGCACACAGAGAGGAAGAAGTTAAGGAATTTTCGGTTTTTGGTTTTGTGGTCTCGGTGCTTCTGATGCAGAGTGCAGAGTGCAGTGTGCAAAGTGCATTAGGAGAATTTTAGCACTTAAATAGTGGTCTAAAGTTGGAAATTGTTTGGGCATAATTTACATGATTTAACACTCGGGGGAACCACAAATGATAAATGGAATATAATCGAGCGATGCAACAACACGCAAATTCAAATATACATTCTCATTTTTTTTTCTTTCTTCCAATATTTTGCATTACATTATCGTGCAATTTGCTTTTGAATTTAAACTTAAACTGAAGAGGTGTGTTTTTGGTCTGGAAATGTTGTTGGTTGCATTTGATGTTTATGGTCTAATCCTGTGTGTGATGTGGATTGTGGACTGTTGGCTATTGTTCAGTGAATTTTGGTCTGTAATTGGATTAGTTCAACAGATTGCAGAGATACCATTGTATTAGGTAATCGAACATTTTTGAAAAATTTAGTCTGGAATATATTTAAACACCCAGCATTCTTCTGATTTTTCGGGGTTTTAAAATTCTGCATTCTGTTAAACTCATATTTTAAATTTATTTCCTATGTATTATGTGTGTAATTCTATAAATCTTAGTTTCTATATTTATGTGTAAGCTATGTATATTTGTCTGTAATCCGTGTAACTTTGTATAATCTAACTAATAAAATGTTTGGCTATTTTGTAGAGTATATCATCTAAACAACTTAAACTTAAGACTAACTTGCAAGTAACAATAACAATCACAAGTCAAACAATATGAATCTATTTATATATATATATCGATTTGGGTATTTATAGTCACGATATAAGTGGTTAAGTGCAAAAAACTCACTGCACACCAGGAACACTCATACGATATCATTTATTCATTGCATTCGCTCACACTTTACCTGTTTCCACGAAGGCACAACTCAATAAAATGTAATTTCACACTCAGACATTTTATGGTTTGGGTAACTGAATAAATCAACTACATGTTTATGGACACATGTTCATGTATCGGGGTTAATTTATATAAAAATATATATATATATATATATAAAGTATGTGGATTTGTATATTGAAATCAATCAGTTTGTCGTTGTACTTAAGCCTATGGAAACTTGTACGTCTACGGCGTTTTGAACTAACTTAAAGAGTTTAATAGAGTTCGATGGCGGATGGGACAACTTACCATATTGCTTGGTGCGAACCGGAATGGGCGGTGTGGTGGCCCCTTCGCCCCTTTGTGACCTTGCAGCCAGCCAGATATAATAGAGAGTATCGGGATATAGGCCATCAAGGGTATATGCCTCCGAATTTGAAATGCGTCTAATGATAGTATGGAATGAGAGAATGATTGATATGGATTAGTTTTGGATTTCAGAACTTGAACGGATACCACATATGGTAACCCGAAACTCACTTGTGATGGACGTGATTGGCGTATGTGTCATTCCAGTAGAGCTCGTAATGAACGATATTCTCGCTGGAATGCGTCGGCTTGGTCCATTGCAGTGTGACTGCGGTCTCGCCGATATCGGTTGCCCGGAAATTGCTCGGTTGCGATGGCACACCTTTTGTAGACATATCCGTAATTCATATTCCATGGGGTTTTCGGGGATTTTACAGGGGTTGATGTTGTTGTTGTTGTTGTTCGCCGGTTGGGAATTGCATTTGGTTTTTGGTTTGGTAATAATGAAACGGAAATTACGGAAATTAAATAAAATACAAACAAATCAATGTGGGCATGCCATTTTGTTTGTATGCCGATGGATCCCACCGATAGCGATTGCGATTCGGTTGGTTTCCAATTCAAAAATGCTGCATGATATTGATGAGGTGACACACGCACAGCAATCGCTGCATCAGCATTTTCGAGTTCGTATTGGCTTTTTGCATGAAATTGATTGAGATGTGTCCATCTATACACAGCCATCGAACAAACCCCATACCATGTTTGAATATTTCAGCGTTTGCCACAAAAACCAGATGGTGTCCCCATACCCAGAGCGAGAGAGCGAGATAGAAAATGATTATCAATTTTCAAATTATTTTTACCCCCCAGGGAATCCGAAGAACCTGTCATCGCTTTGAAGTTTTACGGTTTAATGAACAAACCAAAATCATTTTTCGAACTGCCAAAAGGCTGGCCATATATATACATATACCACATGCATATATCTATAGACTTAAAGAGTTAGATGGTTCAATTGAGTAAAGCTTTTTCAACTTTTCTGTTTTCTGCCCCAGCAAACACAAGTGTCACGTCTGACCCGAAAACGGAAGTGGACATTTTGCAGTTTACATAGATCCCCCAATGTAAAGACTTATTAGTTGGTAGTTCAAAGTTTAACCCCTGTATTTTGTTAGTTATTATTGCAGTTAAAGCTGCTTAAGATGGCCACAAATAGCAGTTAGTCAGTCCGAGTGGACACGCCCATCCACTTAAGCGCCTAAAATACACTCGGTCAAAAGCATTTGCATCCCATATACGCATTTATATCGAATGATTGCAGCAAGTTAATGAATATCTGCCGGACATGCCCACAAGTGCAGTCGGTGTTTGTGCTCGGACAGAGATAAATATTTCATTGAAAGGACACACGTTACGCCTGACATTTTGTATTATAATTAAATAATTGGTGTGATCTATGTGGGCCGATTGAGTTGAGCAATTAAATTGCAAAATGTGCTCGATTCAAAATGCAACGTTAGTCGATGCGTTTCGTGTGCCTGGTTGTGTGTGTGTTTCATGTGCCTAATTGAAGCTGATTGCCCAATCAATTTGGCTTAGCCTACCTTGCTGGGCCTTCACTTGGACCGGCGTGGACATGGGACCGGCTCCCATCGAGGTGTACGCCTGAACCCGGACTGTATAGATGGCATGGGGCGTCAGCTCCGAAACTGTGGTCAGCTCGCTATTATCCACCATCTGTGAGTTCCAAGAGGCCTCCGGTTGATTTGAATTCGTAGTATAATACACCTTGTAGCCCTGTTTTGAAAAAGGAAACGAGTTAAGTTAGGGGTGGCTATCATTATGCTTATGATTTCTTCATAAAAAGAAACTATATGTACCTAGTATACAAGTTTTAATGAGTTTCGCATTATTCTAAGCAGTATTTTCATTGGAAATCATTAAATCTTAAAGCCATGTTTTCATAAAAAGAGTTATGTTTGGTAAGACATAAATTCTAGGATAAAATATATTTTACACATATCCCTACTTCATCAAGAAAACAAGTACCGATCGTTAAGAATAATAATTAATTGTTTTCGCATTATTCTAAAAAGTATTTTTATCGCGTTTTAACTAATTATTGATTTACCACTAACTCTTATCCTAGTTTTGAAGTTATAAATAATATTAAAAATAATATTTGTAAAAAAAACACTCCACTGTAAAGTTCTCACAGTTGAATATTTTTCCTTTATAAAAAATTAAATATGTTTATTACGGGTTTAATTAATATAATATCACAGAAATTTATTTCAAAGTCTTTAAAGTTTAAGTATAGATTCATTTTTAAGCTAAGCTAAACCGATTAAAGAAGAAAAAAAACGAAAGAACTGAATTAAGTATGAGCTTTGAAAATGGAAGCTACTTGAAATCTGGAAACGAAATCCTCATCCGATTTTCACCTTTCATTAACTGATAAACCGAAAATGATATATAGCTGCTGGTCACAGATTTGTGGACCTATAGGGCCGCTTGCAAACACATCCCGCCCCGCCGGAGACCAGAGACCACAACGATTGCCGACTCGGAATGGAGACCTGTGGACAGGTGTCTAGGATTTGCATACAACCGTTCGCCAGCCATTGGCATCGGCAATGGCCTCCTGCCCCTGAACATGGCCAAAGGCATTTTGCCAATTTCCCTTCGACGGGACCCCTCCATTCGGGCCATCGGACTGACGTGACTAACTGCGTTGGTCGGACTACGGACTACGGACTGAGGGCCATGGATTCCGGGACTCCCTGTGTCCGGGTTCCGGATCTTATCGTTTAATATGCGCACTTGATGTCAGGTACTTACGGTCACTTGTCCATTGGGCGTCTCTGGTGGTTCCCAAGTAATAACCATCGTGGACGAGCTCAGCGTGCGCACTTGAACATTACGTGGTGCACTTTCCATTTCTGCAGGCAGGGAGGAAACAGAGGGGAAATGGGTAATATTAGCATTGTCATGGCAAAGATTGGGCATATAACAATGGCTAGTTGGGTAGTTGGCACCGTAGAGATCCGACAGGCTAAACGAATTTCAAAAATTTATGGCTGCCGTGAAAAATAACTCCTTTTCAGTTTGGGGATTAAGAAAAAATATGGTTATTCTTGAACAGCCCTGAACAAAAATTAGTTTATTACTACCTATCATATCACAATAGGCTAAGGCACAAAATTAATGTTATACATTAAATGCAGTCAAACTTCAAGTTCCCCAATTACATATATCAATATTTTCCACTTATATTTTATAATTTGTGGTACAAGTTTGGCTATCCTTTCTGTTACTTATTAAAAAGGACATTTTAAATGTCACACGAAGCATTTATTTGACTGGTATTTAATTAAATGATTTAAATATATGCTGCCCAGCTACAGCACCTTCCCCCAAAATCATAAATATGCAATTTTGGTAAATGATTTTCTGGGGCGAAATGCACAGGACGGCAAACAAATGCCATTATCGAGAAACTAGTGAGGCCAGGCGGCCAAAAAATAAAGGGGCAGGGCATTTGGGGCATCGCAAATGTTTTGCAAGGCCAACAATACCCATCCATCACAATTTGTTTTCCCAATGAACGGTCGGTTGTTGTTTCAGCTACTGTTCCTGTTCCTCCTGCTAGAGATGCGTATATTTCATGGTCGCAGGAATGGAATTGGGATTGGGATTCGGATGGAAAACGGGTGCGTTCTGTCTGCATTTCCGGGAAAATTGAGGGAATTGTTATGGCGCGTTGAAGCCTAGCGGCTGTTATAGTGAGAATTTTGAATTTTGCATTTATAAACTGATTTCTGTGTGTACTGACCCCCAACAATGATTTTCCGCGAAGCATGAATCTGGCTATTCGTCATGCATTTGCATGGTTGAACTGCATTGACAGCCGCAAAATCATCGTTGGAATTTTTGGGCACTCCCCCTCCCGAAAGGAAACAAAACAAAAAAAAACAAAATAGTAAGCCCGCCCCCATGCCATGAATGGCAATTAGTGGTATATTCCTCCGTCACTCAATTTTCCTTATGAGCGTTATGGGGGTATGTAAGCGAGTCGAAAACCGATTGGTTAATGGCCAATCAATAAATTCCAATTTCTCACAATTTTACTGCAATATCCACAAACGGTGCAGCAGCAGCAGCAGCATGGTTTTATCCACAATTTATATCGCAGTCATCTCATCTGTTACCCAAGTGCTACCCCCAATGTGTGTGTTGGCCTGGTCCATTGCTTGTTATAGCCAAGATTTGCATGCAGCTCGCATACACCGATTCACCGATAGATTCGGGCAAAAATTTCCTCTTAGCCTGGCCATGAGTGTGTGTGTGTCCTGTGAGTTGAGGAGCAGGATGTGTGGATGCAGGATGCGGAGCATCACGTAAGCTGCATTTAAGGGCATATACATTACATACGGATACGCTCCATTAATATGTATCCTTGCATGCCTGCGCACACGCCTACTCCTTATAACACGAGCACATAGCACTAAATCGTAACCCCCATTCCCATCCTCCAATCTCCATTCTCCATTCTCCATCTTCACCCACAAAGGGTTTCGTGGCAGGAGCATGTGCAGGCCATATATCTGATTACTTGACGAAAGGATGTGTTCAAGACTCGTTCAAGGCGCCCCAGCCCCCAAATTGTGGGTTTTGATTACTGCCCCTCAAAAACAGTTGCCGTCTTCAAATGTTTTTGCAACTACTAATGCAGCAAAAGCTCATTTCACTAATTAACTGCACCATTGGTCCTGCACAACGAGCTTGTCAGTGCCGGGTACAATGATATTACATTTAATACCACTGACTATATGAAATATGAAAGGCTAACATATAAGGTAAAGGAATTTCCATTTCGTTTGAGAAACGTATATGTTACATTCTGGTGTTCAACTAGGTTGTCTTTAATGGCGATATATAAATTATTTTAACAACAATTTCTAAATGCACACAGTCTACTTTGTATTTAATAGAAACATGAATAAATTATTAAATTTTAAATATTACAGCATTTATTTTACTTCCATAATCTGCCATTTTTGGACGCAGATGCGTAAGATGGCCTCACCTTGGATTCCCCCTCCATTCGGTTAATGTACTCGCACCCTTGGCAGTGTAATATTGCTAGCCATAAAGAAAGCTGGGGATTATCCACTTGGCTCATCTGCTACCTAAGCCAGTGACACGTGTTAAGCATTGCGTTGACCTGCTGATGCCAGTACTGCGGGCCCAGGAGCCCTGCTTTAACCGCCCATAAACGTTGCTATCGAAATATTATTTCGAAACGATATTGGGCAAGCGATAAGCATAATTGCGGCAATAAAAGTTTTCAACTTTTGTACGACACGCTCTTTGGATCTGCCAGTGGAACTGCAAATGCAGCTGCTGCTTTTATATGGGAAAATGGAATTGAACGAATCAAGGAATACCGTATCAAGACAGTTATTGGTTCTGTTGGAGATATTAAAATTTTTTTTATAATATTGTACTATACTCCGATTTTACCAAGTCATGTTTGTCGCTCAGTAAAAAATATTTTAGTTTATTAATGTAATGTTAGGTATTAACTGTCTTAAAACTCTTAAATTGTGGAAATGTTCTCGCTACATTTTTCAGTAGATACACTCAAAAAAAAAATCACCATAAATGTTAGAAAATCGCCCGTGATTTCAAAACGCCATTGAATTAAGAAATATTTTCTTGATTATAGAAAAAATGTCAACAATTTAAGGAATTCGCCATAATTTATTTTTTTTTTGTAATGAAGAAGAGGAAGAACCGCATTTTTTTCTTAAACTAATGGCGAATTTTTCTTGATTTTTTTTCTTGAAATAATGGTAAATTCTTACTTAAATTTAGGAAAGAAATACCCATATTTTAAGAGAAAGTGACTTTTTTTATACATTTTGATGGTGGTCTAGCTGGTAAAGACGTCCGGTCAATAAACAATTGAACAAAAGTACCTGGTTCGAGCCCACGCCAAGGCAAGTGTACCCTTTGTTTATTTTTTATTTTTTTTTTTTTAATTTATGTAATTTTTATTCTTATTAGTTTAACTTTTTATTTACCAAATTGTTTAAACGGTTGTTAAAAAGGTTTAGATTAGAATAAACGTTATTGGTATGCGTAGAGCTGGACCAAAAACACCTTAGCCCTGTTTAGTCATTGTATGACAAGAAGCACGCGTGGCCGAATGGTTAAGACGTCTGGCTATGGTGTGAGCAGTTGCGGGTTCGAGTTCACGCCGGGGTTGTCTGAGGTAAGGATTTTTCCATTTGTTATATTTATTTATATGTTTATAAAAAGTATTTATATAAAATAAATCTTTAATAAATTCAGGTAAATATGAAAATTTTCAGACTGTATTCCCATGTAATAATTGCCATTAAAATTAAAAACGGTTTTATCCATTTAAAATCCAAAATTGGTATACAAAACCAACCAAATTCCTCAAATGTAAAATGTAATGTAGTCTTACATTATAAATATTTTTTTTCTTATTTTAATAAATTTTTCCTTAATTTTAAGGTTTTTTACCATACATTTAAGAAAAATTTGTCATTATTTCCAGAAATGGCAAACCATAAATTCAAGAAAATTATTTATTTAAAATAAAGGTGAGTCGCCGTTGGATGAAAATCATAGGCGATTTTCTTGATTTAAAGGCGGATTTCTTGATTTAAGGGCGATTTTTTTTTTGGGTGTAAAAGTAAGACTACTAATCTTAAGGTTTGTCAGAACAAATTTCCCACTGAATCGTGTAATTTCAGACTCTGTGAAGCTGTGTCGCTCACACATTTTACCTTCATGTTAACTTTTTCTGAGAACTGGGCCCTATCTGTGCAAAAGAATAACAAATATATAAAAAACATGTTAGAAGGAAGTTAATCCTAGCATAAGAATGCGTTAAATACATATTTTCTCAAAAAAATTAATATCTCGCTACTTCTGAATCGCTGCTTTTGAGATAGGGTCCCTAAATCCTGATAAAAATGATCATACCCCTAGGAAGGGCACCAGGGAAAAGCAGAAGTGGCCGGAAAGGCATGTCTGACAAGCGCACGCTTACGCGGGAATTGCCAGGGCTAAAACAGCGTTGCATGCACCCAACATACAGCCATTCGCATCCACAACGAACGCATAACAATGCAAACTTTATGGGATATTCAGGGGAGGATTGGAGGATATCCCCCGCCCACCACATACGTCAGGATAGCGCCAGGACTCGTTGCTCTGGATCGCAGCTGCGTATGCAACGATTTTTTAACATTGCATTTACCTTTGATTCTATCTAGCTACTTGTTATTCCGCTTTCTTTACTCCCGCTTTCTTTTTTTTTATACCCTTACCCTTTTTACATTTTTCGGTTCGGATTTTGTGCTGCTCAACAATTGTTATTGAAATTGTTTTGGCAATTTTTTGGCCAACCATAAAATTTTGTTTGCCAAGGATACTTACTTGTGCCACCGAATGAGAAATCGCCTGAGAAGGCGAAATGCATGTGAGTGAAAGAGAGAGAAAGGACAAATAGACATTTTCAAGAAGGGTTAGTACGATTGCCGACATAATGGACCAGGGCAAATAAAAAGGGATCTAAGCGTAGTCTAAATTCAAAATGAAATTGGTTAAAAATCCTTTTTTATGCAGCATGTGAAAGAGACCGGGAGAAGACGGGGGGCAGCAGTTAGTTAAATGTCCTCCAAGGAGCAGCGAGCAGCTCATCCGCGATACTCACTTGTCTCACCGGTGGTACAAGTCGCCGGTGCCGACGGCGGTCCACGTCCAATATTGTTCACCGCTATCACGTAGAACTCGTACTCCGTATAGGGACTCAAGGCACGGACCACATAGTACATGGTGATGATGCCGCTTATCTCGCTGAAGGCCTGGTTGGCGTTCTTCGGCTTGTACTGGATCACGTAATACTGCAAGTCCTCGGGACCCTTGTACGACCACTCCAGACGCACCGAAGTGGCGGTCACCTCGGAGATTTGCACATCGGTGGGTGCGGTGGGCAAAGCTGTTGAATGATACGAAGGGATGGGGTTAGAAGAGGTAGTGATTGAAGAACAATTTATACACAGAGAAAAACATTGATAAGTATGACCATCATTTTGATCAAATGCAGTATAAATTCTATTCTATCTATCCTTTTCTGTTTCAAAGAGTTTTGAAAAGTGTTGTCTGACTCTTTTCCAGAGATTGAGAGAGTAATTTGAGAGCGTTTTAAAAGATTCAATGATAAAAATGCGAATATCAAACTGGTCATTGTTTCTTTCTGTGTACTTATAACCCTTATTTTTATATTTTCTAATAACTTGTACTTACATTGCACTTTAACCACCGAAACCGAATCAATTTGCCCCAGCGTGGAGGCAGCTATGCAAGTGTAGTTGGCGCTCTCTTGAATATTTATCAATTGCAGGACATTTCGACCGATTGGCATCTCGTTTTCGGGAGTTAGATCTTCGGAGCCTAAATAAAAATAATAATTAATGATTGACCAGATATTTAATCCCAGACATTAACATACCCTTCATCCACTTGACATGTGGCATGGGTGAGCCGACGGCTATGCAGGAAAGATTCAGATTGGAACCCAACATCACCTCACTGATGGTCTCTGGTGGGCGGGAGAAAGTGGGCGGAACACGACGGACTTTCACATATAAATTTGTAGCCTTTGAGTGTTCCGTGCCAACAGAATTCTCGGCCACACATTCATATTTTCCTTGATCCTCCTCGCGGCTGTTTTCTATTTGCAAGAAACCTGGAAGAAAAAATAAAATTTGTTATTTTATTGTATAGTATTCAGTGTGATCTCTGTAATTTTTGAGATCCTAAAAGTCTTCCTAGGTAAATATGCTTATTGGTGATTGATTGCCTAGAACAGCTGCCATATATTCAGCTTTTACCTGTACATTGGGTTATGACTACCTATGGTTCTACCTATTGGTTTCATAAAACAACTAGCTTAACCCTTTGAATGCATCTGCTTTACAACCAATACGATGAAAGGGTTCATTTAAAGTGATCCAATTCTCTACCTGATCTGCAATATAAGACCCAATTCTTAGAGCATACAAATCAGTAGCAATCTGAGCCTTGGCTAGAATACACCGCAAAAATGTTTATCCTGTTTGTGATAACCAACCTTATATATCTTGTGGGTGGCACCACATACCTAACCACAAACAGTCACATTGAGATGCCTATATACCAGAAACGTCCTTTGAGCGAACAAATGGAGATGATTGATATCCTGGATTTGGGTGACCGACCAAGACGTCAAGCGGAGCCCAATCTGCACAATTCCGCTTCGAAATTCCTACTGGAAGTGTACAATGAGATTAGCGAGGACCAAGAACCCAAAGAGGTCCTCCATCAGCGCCACAAACGCTCTCTGGACGATGACATTCTGATTTCCAACGAGGATCGACAGGAGATTGCCAGTTGCAATAGCATCCTTACATTTTCGAGTCAAGTAAAGCCCGAGGAACTGGACAACGAGTTGGATATGCACATAACCTTCAATACCAACGATGTGCCAATGGATTTGAGTTTGGTTCAGGCCATGCTCAGGATATACAAACAGCCTAGTTTGGTGGAACGACGAGAGAACTTCACGGTGTCTGTGTACCGAAAACTGGACAATCGTCAGGATTACTCCTATCGCATCCTGGGCTCCGTGAATACCACATCAAATGAGCGTGGCTGGTTGGAATTTAATTTAACGCAAACTCTGAGGACATGGTTATTCAATAGTAGAGGTTTGCCGGGGCGAAATGAGCTGAGAATATCCATTGGCGACTCCCAACTGAGCACCTTTGCTGCGGGATTGGTGGCTCCACAGGCCAGTCGATCCAGTTTGGAACCCTTCATCGTGGGATATTTTAATGGACCCGAGCTCTTGGTCAAAATACAGAAGCTTCGTTTCAAAAGAGATCTGGAGAAGCGAAAAACTGGTGGTGGAGGAAGCCCACCACCTCCTCCACGGCCACCCGTCGATTTATATAGACCACCGCAGTCCTGCGAGCGCCTCAATTTCACCGTGGACTTCAAGGAGCTGCATATGCACAACTGGGTGATAGCGCCCAAAAAGTTCGAGGCTTACTTCTGCGGCGGTGGCTGCAACTTCCCGCTGGGCACCAAAATGAATGCCACCAACCACGCCATCGTCCAAACTCTGATGCACCTCAAGCAGCCACATCTGCCCAAGCCCTGCTGCGTGCCCACAGTTCTAGGAGCCATCACTATCCTGCGATATCTTAACGAGGACATCATCGACCTCACCAAGTATCAAAATGCAGTGGCCAAGGAGTGTGGATGCCATTAGGTTTGGTTTGAGTTAAGTGAATTAAAAATCTTAAAATAGTGTAAATATGGTTCCATGTAAATATATAAATAATTGAAAAAATAATTTTGAGACGTAACAAAAACCTTTTTTAAAAGTTAAAAAATAAAGTACAGATTTCTATGTAAATATAAACCCTTTTAAGACTATAGAGAAATAAGTATAAGTACTTTTGAAGAAAAATAAATCCAAGACATATATAGTTAAACATTTATGAATTTTGATTGGACTGGTGGAATATATCTTATAAGCAAGTACAACAAAATTCTTAAGAACCAACTAGAGCTTAAAAATAGGAATCCCTGTTTTTACATACGTCCCTTTCTTGGCTTTTAAGGTAGACTAACTTTTATGTTTATTTAGCAAAACCTTTACTTGTTACGCCCTTTTATGACGCCTTTGGGTTATGTGTGGGCTGGGGCTTAACCGTAACAAAGTCGTAAGATCTTAGATTTATCAATAAATTTGAAAGTCAAATGATGTTTGCTTATCTCACATCACTTTAATAGGCAACCCACATTATCCTCATTGCCCCCATAAAAAGGTTCTCAATTCACCTTGCTCTTTCATGTAGGGAATCCATCCACTCGGCATCAAGAGAAGCAACACATGGAAAATTAACACTTTTTATATGATTTTAAAAGCCATATAAATTTTACGACAAGTCACCAGACCCCACGAAATATTTTGCAATCTCTTGCCAAAGAGAAAAGACACACTCACACAGGCATCTATTAAATATCGAGGCTCGCTTTTCCGGCATATTACGCTAATGTGAATGACACACATACGGCGGAAAAACGGGAGAAACATTTTGGAGATTGGAAGGGAAAAAGGCCATAAACCGACATCACTTTGACATTATATTTATATGACTAATAAACAATGATGCACGAGTCGGCGATGAGTAGACAATATGACATTAACGTAAACCAAAATCCACTTCACTTCAGGATTTTGTCATCCTAAAAATCCATTGGCTTTAAAATCAACCGTTTTGTAGATATTTTTCCTGGCTGACCATTGGTTTGATTGACATTTTCATTTTGACTCTGACTGAAACCATAAAGTTATGGCATTATTGCGATTTTTAATTGACAAATAACTATTATTTCACACGATAATTTTAGAGAGACATAGTTGAGAGAGGCAATGATTTATATTGCTTGGTTTATAATTTATTTTGCAAATTTATTTCATACTTTTCGCAAAATCATATTAGCATTTTTAATGAAGCATGATAGAGTCGTTAGCAACGTGTGGATTTCTAAGCCTCTATAAACGTTAAAATGTGTAACCGTGTGCGTATGTTTGTGCGAAATTAATCATATTGAGTTTCGATATTCAATTTTCTCTCCCATACAATTAATCAACAACCTCAATTCAATATGCACACAAATATCCACATTAAAGAGTGTGGGGTTATGTGTGTGCTTATAGGTAAGCAAATTTAAAATCTGCATGAAATATGACAATTAATTTGCGAAACGAGAGTTTTTCATATGCAATATTATCGTTTAATTATTTATTGCCGCATTTTGTGCATATACAAGCAGTATTGATCAGGCTTAAGCGGAAGGCTTAAATTACAAAATCGTATTTTCTTTTAATATGATACTGGGCTTAACTTTGTGGAGAGTGTGGGTGAATGGAAAATGTTTTTAGTTTCTTAAATGAAAAGATAATTTTTTGTATTTGCATTTATCATTTGTGTAAAGTACAAATTTTACTTAAAAAATATTTTAATATTTTCAAAGGAAAATTCTGTAATTATATAAAAATATTATACAATTTCCAATTAGTTTTTTTTTTAATGCAACTGTACCCTTTACCAAATTTTAATATGCTTTAATTCCCAAAAAAGAATAACAAATAGAGTACATAAATAAATAAATATATGAGTAAAATCTACTACAGTTGACTGAATCATTTTAATGACTTCTGTTGCTCCTCTACAATAAAAAAAACAGAGGCTTCAAAAGAGGGATACTTTATAGAAATTAATATTTTAAAATAAATATATGTATCATATTAACTAGGTATTCTTAAGGACCAAAAATCTATGGAAAATTTCTAATTTACATTGAGCCTGTTTAAAAGGTAGTAAAAGTGTATCATGTGTGGATTGACTTTCCCCCGGAAAAGGATCTTTAACTACGCTACTGCCAATGTAAATATCGGAATAAAAAACGGGGCAACGCTAAATGTTGCAAAATCGCTTGGTTCGCACTAAAGCCATGTTTATTGTGTCTATTTTATGTACCTTTCCGTTTTATTATGGTTGTCATTTTGTGTTTGATATAAAAAAAAAATATATTTATAGAGATGGTATGGGGGGAAATAAAAAATAAACTGACTAAAAGTGATGTATGTGGGGATAGATTGCTGTGCGGTTTTTAGTGCAGCAACCATTTGTAGGATGTGAGTTGTGTTTTATGTGTTGTTTTGGTTGTGAAAAGGATGCCGTGAGCTTTTATTTTTATTCGACACTACTGCCGCTCTCACCTACAACATGCATCAAAGTTGATTGTTGCGAAATTTATTGCATACTATTTGGCCTGTATGGCTGAACATTTATTACGCTTGTTGCACTTCCTGCGCAGCCAGAATTCCCCCAACGCTGCTGTCTCCAACCGTCGATGCCATTGTTTAGGAACCATTGAACCATTCAAACGACCATTAAATGTTGCAACTTTTATAAATAATCGACCACTTTCGTTTTGGCTGACATGTGTGGCTCAGCGATCCAAACAAACATTCTCTTTTTGTTTTTTAAAGCTTTCCCATCCTTGCCCCTGACATTATTCAAGGTAAAGGGCTAACAAAAAATAAAGATAAAATTATGAAAAAAATAGAAGAAGAACAACAAAAGACAATGTCTGTGGAAAACGTTGATTAAAATTTATGAAGGCAAGTTTCATTAAAACTCTTTGGGCAACCTTCTGCCAAAAACATTAACGTAAGCCGCCGAGCCAAGCACTTTGCGTGCAGGATGGCTGTAGCAATAAAAATTAAGCTAGCATACATCTGGGCCCCCTTCGGCGTCCCGAATGTAAGTCATTCCCCGGGTTTTTGGCCTTGTCTCTGCCGCGTGCGTGTGCCACTCTTATGAAAATTAAAAATTCTTTCAAGCGTCGTAAAAAAGAAATATAAACAAATGGACAGGCTAGCAAAGGAGTCCGGCCGGTGTGCAGGTGAATATTTCATGAAAAATCGTTTTTACTCGAAGGGGTTTGGCACAGAAGTCACATTTAAAGAGTCCCAGGACTAATTTCAATCTATTGGGGAATTTTTAAATTTAAATGTGCTATATTATTCTATATAAATAAAGTTTTTACTACTGTTTTTCGCTTCAGCAAGTATAAAAATAAATATTTTCACAAGTTCAATGAGGGGTGACATTTAATATTTTTCAT